TTTATGCAAGACTCTGCTACTTGTGTATTTACCTGTATGTGGACTTGGGAAGCCTGTCATCTGGCACATATCCATCACCCACTACGTAATTTATCATCACTGTGTGCAAAGCAAGTCTACAGTGCTTGTGAGAGACACACATTCCTGCCACCAAGGACTCCCTTTCTATAGGGGAACTTAAATACGCAGTTAAGGAAACTCGTCTTCTCCCTGCTGTCTGCCCACCTCCAATCTGTTCTCCACAGGGAAGCCAGAGTGGACTCTAAAACGTCTACTGTGTCCTTTTTCAGTTTCTAACCCTCCAGTGGCTCCCAGTTGCCCAAATGGAAATAGCGAAAATCCTTTAGGATGAGCCCAGGTCTTATACGGTCCATCTTATTTGGCCCAGGGACCTGTTTCTAATGCCTAGAACACACCACAAACCAAAAACCCAACACTTGCACAGAGGCACACACAAATTTCTTCATTTATTCTATCAAAGGGTAATTATTAGAAGAAAACAAAGATAAAATCATGGCTCTCATATAGATATAAAATGAACACGTTTTATAGATTTTTTTATTGTGGTAAAAAGACACACAACATGAAATCTAACCTCTTCACCAATTTTTAAGTGTACAGTATTGTTAACTATACGCACTATGTTGTACAGGAGACCTCTAGAACTTTTTCCTATCGCATGACTGAAATTTATACCCTTTGAACAGCAACTCCTCCTTTTCTCTAACTCATTAACGGGAGACCCAGGCAGAAGTGAAAGAAGCAAAATTTACATGGAGTAAAGGAATGTTGAAATGAATTAGTGAATGCATGTGAAACTGGCTTGGTGGGGGGATGCAAGTGGCCCCCCAGTGGGCAGAACGCTCATGTTTGTGGACATGAACTATTTGCATGGCTATTAATTATCTACAAATTAAAGCATTGTAAAATAGATCAAAGGTAGTGAAATGGTACAATTAGATAGCTCTAGAAGGATGTGGTCTAAAGAATGCATAGTTTTCCATTGCAGACAGCCAGTCATCTCATTTTCCTTGTTCTGAATTTCCTTACAATGCTTAAAGTAACATGTATTGATCACCTAATATATGCCAAGCATTTTTCTGGGCAGAGAGGATTCAGCAGTAAATAGAAGAGATACAAGATCCTTGTGAAGCTTATTTTTAATGGCATGAGAGGCAGGCAAAGAATCATTAAATAGATTATGTATTTATTATATTGAGTGGTGATAAGGAGTTTACACAAAAACAAAACAGGAAAGATATATGCAGAATATGGGACGGTCTATACTCTTCAGTGTGTTGTCGATGGATGTTACCATTTAGAAACTGACATTTGAGTATGTACACATATGCACACACAGAATAGGCACTTACAAACACACACACACACAACTCAGACAGGCACACACAAAGACCTCAGACATACATATAGATACACACACAGACACATAGAGAATTCAAATGCACACACAGACACGCAGACCTTAGACAAATATGGAAACCACAAACACAGACACACAAATATACAAACACACCCAAGACACACACATTGAGACTACAGAAACAAACACACATGCAAATACAGACACTCACACCGGCCGGGGCCGGTAGTGGGGAGCAGAGTCACATTCACAGCCTGGCATGGTCAGACCTAACCCAGCAGGGAGGACGGGGCTGTGGGGGCCCAAGGAGGGAGTGAGGAAGAGTTCAGTCACCAGCCCTGCCAACACCTTGACGTCAGATTTTCAGCCCGCCGAACTGTGAGAAAATGAATTTCTGTTATTTATGCCACCCATTTCAGTTCAGTTCAGTTCATTTACCACAGATAGAAAAAATCACAGACAGACTCACACCACAGACACACAAATGAGGCATCGGCCATTGGCTCCTTGGGAAGACTGGGGCCCTGGTTCTCAGGCCTCCTAGACCCAAAGTCCCAGCAGGAGAGAAATGTCAGGGATGTCCTGTGACTCTGGACCACTTTCTGACATTTGGGAATCTTTTAATTCTCAGAAACAACCTCCCCTGCCCACTGGTGTCACCATCCACCTGTCTTTGCTGCCCATGGTCCGGCTGACCCCGCAGCCGCACCACCCTGGCTGTTGGCCTGTGGCTGGAGCAACAGTTGTGTCCACTCGCAGATTAACCACCAGGGAACGGACAGCGCAGGTGGGACTGTCTTTCGGCCTTTGGAAAGACTGAGACATGAAGGTGGGACAGGTGAGAAGGGAAGTGGACTCACCTGAGAAGAGTCAGGAGCAAAGAAGCAGAGGACAAAGAGGAGTGGGCTCTGGGGTCACAGCCAGTGTGGAGGGCCCAGGGGCTAAGTGGCTTCTGTCCCAGGAGCTCCCCTTGGTCCTGCTGTCAGGATCCCATGAGGGTGTGAATGGAGTTCATGGGACATACTGGGAGCCCTCAGAGTTGTCTGTAAAGTCTTTCCCACACTCTTGGGCTTGTTCCATCCCTTTGGGTACTCCAGCTCCGGCCCAGAGCCTAGGCTCCCTGAAGAAGCTCCTGAGACATCTTCCTGGAAAACTGTATGTGGATGAAGGGACATGGGCAGGAGGAACCAGGGTCCATGCATGTGACATCAGGAGCAATGTTAGCTGCAGAGATCATTAGGTGGCTCAGTTGCCACACTCTTCCCTAGAAGAGAAGGAGGAGGAGGGGGAGATGTGTTGGAGGAGTTCAGACTCAGATTTCCTTGGACCCTGGAGCTGAGAGGCTGAAGAGCTGACTGAGGCAAAGGCACTGGCCAGGGGCTGCAGGTGGAGCTGCAGGGGCTCCCTGTTTGCTCACACCTGCGTCCTTGGCTCTGGGCTTGCTCTCAAGAGGATAAACTTACCTCCCAGACCTTCCAGCTCCCAGCGCACCTGTCCCATCCCATCCTCCAGGCACATCTTCACTCCCTCCTCGGGCTCTCACAGCCCCGTACTCCCTGCTGGGGCAGCCCTGACCATGCCAGGCTGTGAGTGTGTCTCTGCTCCCCACTGCTGGCCCTGCTAGTGCTCCTCCAGGGTCAGCCTCACCTCAGCCCTGCCCCCCAGGACACTCTGCTCAACAGATGGGAGTAGGTGCCCAGGGGAGGAGCAGTGACAGGTTCAGCCAGCAGAGGGACCAGTCGCACCGGAGGCCCTGGGAGCCTGTCCTGTCCTGGGGAGAGGAGGGGAAGGGTGGCCAGGGTGAAGTAAGAGCCCGCAGAGTTCAGAGCTGGTGCCCTGAGGAGCAGCAGAGGTTTTCTCTGGTTACCAAACCTTTCCTTCCCTCTTCTCCTCCCATCCTCAGAGCGGCCCCATCCTGCAGACTGGCCACTTGCCAATGTGTAGACTATGTCCATTGTGGGCCAGACCAGGCTGCACGGAGCACTTTACTTGCACAAACACATTGGGTCTTCTTGGTAACCCCATGCATTCGTTTGCTCCAGCTGCTCTAACAAAATACCACTGACGAGGTGGCATAAATAACAGAAATTCATTTTCTCACAGTTGTGGAGGCTGGAAATCTGACATCAAGGTGTTGACAGGGCTGGGTCCTTCTGAGGCCTCTTTCCTTGGCTTGCAGATGGTCTCCTTCTCTCTGTGTCTTCACTTGGCCTTCCCTCTGTGTCCTAATGTCCTCTTATAAAGACACCAGTCCTATTGGATTAGGGCCCACTGTAATGACTTCATTCAACTTAATTACCTCCTTAAAGGCCCTATCTCCAAGGACAGCCACCTTCAGAGGTACTGGGGGTTAGGGCTTCAACATATGAAACTCCAGGACGACACAATTCAGCCCATAACACCCCGTGTGCGTAGGCACCTGACTACGCACAGAGTTGGTTAACCCCTTCCCAAGGCAGCACAGCAAGCATTAGGAAGCCAGACTCGAGCCCAGGGCCATCTGGTGGCAAACCTCATGTATCTGACAAGGACGGTGGAGACTTCAAATGAGGAAGCCCCAGAACAGTGCTTCTTGCTGAGGGTGGGACTCCAACTGACCACTGAGGAATGGGCAGGGCCAGACCCTTGACCTGCAGGGTGGCCACACGTGCATCTGCAGATAATGCCCAGCTCCATCCTCGTATTAGATTCTCCCTCATATGAGGGCTGAGAATTGGGATCCCTCCAGATGACAGATGAGGAAACTGAGGCTTGGAGGGGAGAAGGGCCAGACCCCTGACTCCAAAGTCAGGGCTTCCCCCTAAAGTCACGCTGTGCTGTGATCTTGCTCTGAATGCCTGGCTCTCAGGCCTGGCCTGTGCAGTCGTCACCAGGGATGCCTGGAGCAGGGGGCTGTGAGCAGGTCAGGAAGCCCCAGGACCACTCATGGGGGTCACATTGTGACCATCTTGGAATCCTGATCTCGTCCACTCTGCCATTTCTACCTGGGAGCTCTCCTTCTGGCTGCACAGGGCAATCGGGTTCCTACAAGCCCCTGCCTGTGCCTCCACCATCACACACTGTGCCAACACGAGCTGGAAGGGCCTGGGGTTTCTCTGCCTCCTCAGGTGTTAGAGAAGTTCTCAAGGACACAGACAAAGTCTGTCCCATTGTCCCCTGTGACTCCACTCCCCTGGAAGGAGTAGATGCTCAAAATGCTGTTGTCATGTTCATTCATTCATTAATCACCACCTCCCTTCCCCATCTTTCTCTCCTTGAGGTTCCCTCCCCAGCCGCTCCTGAGTCCACAGCTGATGATATTGACCCTCCCAGGCTTTGAGGAGCTCTGATTTGCCTGGCAGTGCCTCCTTTCCTGGTGTGGACAGTGGTGCGGGAGGGACAGGTCATGGAGAGGGAGCTGGGAGCAGCAGGTCAAATCCACCTTGCTCTTGTGTGAGCCTCATTGGGACCCCATCTGGAAAGTAGAAGTGGTTATTCTCCAAGGACCACGCCAGCTCCTACAGCGTGTGGGTGTCAAGTTCCTCTTCTGTGAGTCACGTTTCTGACCTCAGCCTGGGCTTCCTGCTGGGGCTTCCTCTCAGTTCTATGACACCAAGGCCCTGTGGCTCTGACACCAGAGATGTCACTGCTGCTGCTGCTGCTGGTGCCCCTGGTGTGGACAGGTGAGTGTGTCAAGGGGGGATGGAGTGGGGCACAGGCTGCAGCTGACTCTTGTTTCCCCACAGGGACCCTGGCTCAGGATGGGAGATTCCGGCTACAAGTGAAGTCTGTGACGGTGGAGGAGGGGCTGTGCATCCATGTGCCCTGCACTGTCACCTACCCCCAGATCAATTACACTGACACTGACCCAGCTTACGGCTACTGGTTCCAAGAAACAGATCATCCAGCCCTGGTTGCTCCTGTGGCCACAAACAAACCAAATCGTACAGTGCTGGAGGAGACCCAGGGCAGATTCCACCTCCTTGGGGATCCCCGGACCCACAACTGCTCCCTGGACATCACAGACACCATGGGGAGGGACAATGGGAAATATTTCTTTAGGGTGGAGAGAGGGTCTTTTGTGAAATATAATTACAAAGAGAACCTACTTTCTGTGCATGTGACGGGTAAGGAATGGGGTCAAGGAGGGGACACATGGATGGGTTCTGAAGGCCCCCTGGCTGGGGCCGGGAGGGGCCCTCCTGCTCCTCATCCTGGGAGGGACCCAGTGTGACTCAGGAGGACAGGATGCTGAGGTTGGCTGGAGAGGAGACACCTGGCCTGAGGCAGAGGTTGCTCTTAAGGTCACACTTGGGGTCCCCCCTCCAGACCTGTGTCTGTCTCTCTCCTCCTCAGCTCTGACACAGACACCTGACATCCACATCCAGGGGACCCTAGAATCTGGCCACCCCAAGACCATTACCTGTGCAGTGCCATGGGCCTGTGAAAGGGGGACACCCCCCACCTTCTCCTGGATCGGGGTCGCCCTCACCTCCCTGGGCCCCAAGACTCTCCACTCCTCGGTGCTCACCCTCACCCCGCGGCCCCAGGACCACAGCACCAACCTCACCTGTCGAGTGACCTTCCCCAGAGCTGATGTGAGCACAGAGAGGACCATCCAGCTCAATGTGTCCTGTGAGTGCCAGGCCAGGATGGCCAGGCCCCTGAGGGCAGTGAGTGTTGGGGAGGGGGTGGCAGGTTCTGGGGTACTTTGCGCTACACCCTGCAAGCTGGTTCTGGGGAGGGAGGAAAGAGGACACCCCTTCCTATTACTAAAATTTTGGGGGAAAGGGGCCAACACCCACCTTCTTGCCACTGAAAAGGTAATAATTATGTCTGTCTGTTCAGATGCGCCCCAGAACCTGACCATCAGCGTGTTCCAGAAAGAAGGCACAGGTAGAGTGCAACCTCTCCTCTCAGAGGGGTGTGGGGGAAGCGGAGTCTGTCTGCTCCCTTCAGAGCAGAGCTGGGGTCAGAAATCAGATGGGAGTAAGACTCAGGCCAGGTGTGGGGACAGCAGAGGTGAGAAGTGCCCCCACTAGATCGTCATCTTACACCCTGGCCTCCCCCCACCCCTGACCCTGCTCTCAGGGGGTCTGCATGGCCTCTTCCATGCCAAGGACACATCCTCGTCCCACGTCCTGCCCTCATTCTCCTTAGGATCTGGACCCCTACTCCTCCAGCCTCCTTGGATCATTTTAATGTCAGTATTTAAAGTAGTAAACATAAAATGTGCCTTAGTCTGCTTGGGCTGACATAACGAAATACCACAGACTGGGGGGTTTAAACAACAGGAATTTAGTCCTCACTAAATTCAGTTGTGGAGTCTGGAAGTCCAAGATCAGGGTGTAAGTCATTGGGTTCCTGGTGAGGGCTCTCTTTCTGCCTTGTAGATGGCTTCCTTCTGGCTGTGTCCTCACAGAGCTGAGAAAGAGCCAGCTCTCTGGTGTCTCTTCTCATATGGGCACCGATGTCATCATGAGAGCCCCACTCTCATGACTTCATCTGACCCTAATGAATCCCAAAATCTCCATTCAGATGCCTCAAAACTCTACCACATTTGGAGCTAGGGCTTCGACATATCAATTTTGGGGGAATATAATTCTGTTCCTAGCAAAATTCAGTAGGAATAAAACAGTATTCAGAACCT